GTGAAAATAAATGTGTGGACAAATATTTGAGACTTATTTTGGTGTAGAAAAGTCAAGTTTAATTAACTTTCACCATTACAAGTTGTTAAATTGTGAAAATAAATGTGTGGACAAATATTTGAGACTTATTTTGGTGTAGAAAAGTCGCATTTAATTAACTTTCACCATTACAAGTTGTTAAATTGTGAAAATAAATGTGTGGACAAATATTTGAGACTTATTTTGGTGTAGACAACTGTCGTTTAATAATTTTACACTATTACAAGTTGTTAAATTGAGAGAATAAATGTATGGACTAATATTTGAGACTTATTTCGGTGTAGTCAAGTCGCGTTTAATTAACTTTCACATTACAAGTTGTTAAATTGAGAAAATAAATGTGTGGACAAATATTTAATACTTATTTGAGTGTAAACAACTCGAGTTTGATTAATTTCCACAATTACAAGTTGTTAAATTGAGGGAATAAATGTCTCAACACATATTTAATATTTATTTTGGTGTAAACAACTCAAGTTTGATTAATTCCCACAATTACAAAGTGTTAAATTAAGAGAATAAATGTGTAGACAAATATTTGAGACTTATTTTGGTGTAGAAAAGTCGTGTTTAGTTAACTTCCACCTCTAAAAGGTTGTTAAATTGAGAGAATAAATGTGTCGACAAATATTTGAGACATATTTTGGTGTAAACAACTCGTGTTTGATTAATTCACACAATTACAAGTTGTTAAAATATTCAAAGACACAGTGTCTTTGAAATAATATACTGGTATCATTGGATATTTGATTTAATTGTGAAACTTTCTAACAACATGTTAACTGCTGACTTTGAACCCTCAATCAACAATTCCGCAGACACAGTATAAATTCCACAACACCACAGAAGATATTGGTCTATTTCCTGAATTGTTTTCGTAATATAGGGAACGTCATTGACACTTTAACAAAACTTACCTTGACTTGTCACAATCTGGAAACTGTTGAACAAATTGCGCGCCGTAAGTTTAATATAAGTATTATATATTCATTCATTCAGTTTTGCATGGTGGAGTGTCGTGAGGTTTATTATTTTTTTCGCGACGTGTTTTTGTTTACTTGTTACGGTTTGAGGGATTTTAGTTTATTTGATTTACGTTTTTACGGTAGCTCTGAGCGGGACTCGAACCCACTGTCTTTACAAGCTAATTTTGTTTTATCTTGATGGCACGCTTGTGTACCACGGCACGACCTTGGTCGTTGGTGGTGTTCATTTTTTTAACACTTAAATGTTCCGATGAGTTGAACGGGAAAGCTAAAACGATTGCTGGTTTCGAGAAAACGACCCCGATTGAAGGTCATGTATTTTGTGACGTTACCAATTCGTGTGTAGATACGGCTTCTAGAACCGTGTCCTTACAAGAGATATACACGAGATTAACCGTAAACTGCGTGTACAAAAATAGATTTACCGTACTCCGTACTGTACACGAGATTTACCCTACATTGTACTGTACAAACGAAAAGAGATATACTATATACACTGACATTTAAATGCTACTTACTTCAATTCCAACGGTGGATAAAATTAGCCTTATTGATTCACCCAATCCCCGCCCATCAAAGTATATTAAATGTGCCTTCATTTCGGTGAGCGCCAGGAGTTGTTGGAGATATGAAATGCAGAATGCAAATGAGGAATTACGCAAATGATATACATACCAGTGGATTGGCTCGATACACTACGGTAAGGGAGATGTCATTATTTATTTCTTGGGTCGTTTGGTGTTTCAGTGGAGTTGATG